ATTTGTTGAGCACTGGGGAGAGCGTCTAGCAGCTCACCTGTGTGAGTGAGAGCTTAGTGTGGGCACTATGCGGGAGTAGTCAAGAGACTTGTATTAAAGGGTAATAGAGCCCTCCTTATATATGATACAGGGGGCCGTTTGTGTCTATTTGGGACGAGTCGATATGACTCTAGATGACACGTGATGGAGTCATAGATATGTATCACGACATCCATCTTGACAGATGATATTTGATCAACACTCCCCCACGCTGAAAACCACGGGATAGTGTTTGAAAGCGAATCTTCATTGGCCATTCCTTCAGGACGAGTTGAACTCAAGTCCTAGTTGAGATCTGAACTTCTCGAACTTGACGCGTCCTAGGTTCTTGGTGAACATATCTGCAGGATTCTCACTGCCCGGAATAAAGAACAGTTCAACCTCTTCTTCCTCGACTCGCTCACGAATGTAGTGATAGCGGATGTCTATGTGTTTCATCCTGCGGTCTCGGTAGGCATTGCTGCCACTGAAGAGTGCACCCTGATTGTCACCGCAAATGGGTACTGGGATGGTGAGTTTGAACTGGAGTTCCGAAAGGACGCTCTTCAGCCACATCACCTGGCGACTACAATCTGAAATCGCCATGTACTCTGCTTTGGTCGAAGACTGCGCGACTGTGCGCTGAAGTCTAGACTGCCAGCAAATAATCCCATCTGCCAATTTCGTGAAGAAACCAGTGGTAGACCTCCTCTTGATCGGATCAGCAGCCCAGTCTGAATCGCTAAATGCAATGAGCCCTCTATCCGTCGCACCATTGAAAATGAGCGAATAATTCCTAGTACCAGCCAAATAGCGACAGATATACAGCGCTTTATGGAGGTGGTCTTGGGACGGATTGGCGGCAAATTGTGACAATTTGGTCACAGCAAATGCAATATCAGGACGTGTGCCTAGCATGATGAAGAGAAGAGATCCAATGACTGATTGGAATTTCTTCCTGAGTTCTGGATCGACTTCATCCTCATTTGGCATTGGAACATATCCAGCCGGTAGAGGGGTCGCTGCAAACTTGGCGTTCTGCATCCCAAAGCGCTCTAGCACCTTGTCGAGATAAGGAATCTGATCAATCTTGATCGAAGATCCTACTCTACTGAGGCGCACGCGCAAGAACTCTGGAGTATCTTCAGAATTGCGGCATTCCCATCGCTTGTTGAACTCAGCCTTGAGAAAGGCGAGGAGCTTCTTGTTCTTGGAGAAGAACAGTGCATCATCCACATAGACTATTATGACGGCTATGCTGCCATCAGAGTCCTTGTAGAAGAACACGCCGGCATCCGATGTTAGTCGGATCCAGCCCATGGCTTTCGTGGACTTGGTCAGCGCTTTCCACCATGCTAAAGCAGCTTGTTTGAGTCCATAGATTGCCTTGTGCAAGCGCATGACTTTGCGCTCTTGGCCTCTCGCCACAAAGCCTTCGGGTTGTTCCATGTAGACCTCTTCGTCAAGCTCTCCGTAGAGAAAAGCCTTACTGACATCGGGTCCAGACCAATGCCAATCATTGAGCGCTGCAAGCGCCATGACCAACCGGAACGTCTCATACCTGACAACAGGAGAGAATATCTCGTCATAGTCAACACCTTCGACTTGACTGAAACCCTTGGCAACTAGGCGGGCACGCTTTCGGCCATCAGATTTTTGGTCAAAGACCCAGCGACATCTGATAACCTTCCGTCCTTTCGGGCGGTCCACAAGGGAATAGACCTTGCGCTGACAAAGTGCCTCTAACTCGTCGCGGCAAGCATCAATCCAACCTTTCTGTTGTTCAGAAGGCAACCGCTTGATATCGCGGAACGTCCAATCGCGAATTTTGGACGTATCAGGTAGGTTCTCATTTGGAACCGCTTTTGACAGCAGCGCCGTGATGAGCTCTACTCCCCCTTCCCGGCATAGCTTCTCCATGCGTGCATCCTCGTCTAGATCATCAGAAGCACCCGCGTTTGAGGAATCTGGTTGCGAGCTAGGGCCGGGAACCCCTGCATCAGCACCGGTTGATGGTTGAGATTGGGAGCTACCCTTATCTTCACCAACATACCGCTTCCATCCTCTGCTGTTCTGAATGTCACGGACTATATCCGTAGGGGTACGCTTTTCCCCATAGACGTTTCCTGGACGTGTAGGCACATTCCGCTGGCGTGAAGACCTTCGAGGCTCAGGAGCTGGTGAAGCTTCCCGACTTGGTCGTGGAATTCTACTTCTACGAGTCCTCTGAGGTTCATCCCGACGCTCTGGCGGTGGGTCCTGACGATTATGACCGTCGTCACCATCATCATTTCCCTGTACGGGAGGTGGTGGAGCCGGATCAGATGGCATGGGAAATGGAAAAGGATTATCTCCATATAGCCAATCTTCTCCGTCTACCTGTGGTGGATCTTGTGGATTCACTGGGTCATCACGTTCTGGAAATTCCTCTCCAACAGGAACGTGGGGTGGTCGATTGCTGTCAGGACAGCGGGGGAACAACTCCTCGTCGAACAATGCCTTGGTGGCAACGAACGTGGAATTGTTTGTGCGCATGAACAAAAATCCTTTCACACCATCAGGAATGCCCAAGTAGGTCATCAGCTCCGATTTGGGCGATAACTTGTTGGCGCGCTTCTCATCAGGGATAAAGACATATGCAGCGCAACCAAAGACTCGGAGTTCGGAAACATCCGGTTTTTCCTTGTGAAGAGCTTCAAATGGAGTTTTCCATTTTAGACGCCTGATAGGTGTCATATTGTAGATCCGTGTCGCATGTTTGATAGCGAATTCCCAATAAGAATTAGGAAGACAGGCAGTGAAGCGCATGGCTTCTGCCTTATCCATGATCGTACGATTGAAGCGCTCGGCATGCCCATTCTGCTGGTGAGCACATGGAGCACCCTTCTCCACTAGAATTCCTTGTTCCGCGAGAAATTCTTCCATTCCCATCCCCATGAATTCTCCCCCATTGTCAATATGCCACTTTTTGATGGTGACATTGAACTGGTTCTTGACCATCGCAATGAAATTGCGCATAGCCTGCTTGGCATCGGATTTCTGCGCAAGGCATACTGTCCAGCCATAGGAGAGTGCTTCGTCGAAGAAGCTCATGAAGTAGCGGTACTTGTGATAAGACACCGTGGGAAATTGTTTGAGATCCGAGTGGATCAAATCAAACGGATTCTCCGCTCGTTTTTCGGAAGGCGGGAAGGCACGTTGGTGCATTTTCCCTTGCGCGCATCCTTTACACGGTCGGGTTTCCTCGGGAAATACTAGGTCTTCTGGAAAGCCCTTGGTATTCTTCTTTGCCTGACGTAAAACGTCTTTCAACGGATGTGCAAGTCGCCGGTGCATGATCTCATAATCCACCTTGTAAACAGTGGACATGGATCGCACTGTCTCAGCCGTGCTAGGCTTTGACATCAGGAAGTACAAGGCAATGTCCTTCCCTAGAGTTCTAAACTCCATGATCGAGAGTGGGGACTTCCCTCGATGTAAGCTGATCCGCGATTCGTCTCCACGAACGCGAGATCCTCCTTTGAGTAAGGAGCCCAAAGACATGAGACGACCATGTAATCCTGGCACTAGGTACACTGGATATATCTGAGAAGTCACCATTGTCTTTTCTCCATGCCTTGTGACGTAATGATCGATGAAGGCTGTTCCTCGACCAATAAGGGCAACACGTGTGTTCTTATCAGCGGTCTGAGCAACAATAGGATCTGAGAGCTTCTCATATCCGACCAGATCACTAATCTCCGATGTCACATGGAGAGATGCACCTGAATCAAGAAGCCATAGAGGCCTTAATTCATGATGATGATGTTTCCCCTTACACTTAGAGCAGGCAGCAAAATCGGAGTGCACACAGAATAGATTGGTACAAAAATCATGCGAACGAATCATCAACAAATTAAGTACAGAACCCGGGGCGGCGGTGATTACGCGCTCTGGCTGTGAGCAACAATCAGAATTGTGCATGTGCCCAAGAAGGCAGGGTACTTGCCTTTCGGCGGAAGGAGCGTCCATCTCCTCCAGAAGGGTGTTGAAGTCGACGACTTCATCCCAATTGACCGGTTCAGCCTGGGCGAACTCGCTATCTCCAAACAGAAGATCAAGATTGTTCTGTTGGCTGGTGGCCATCTCGACGTCGGGGATCTCCTCGATACGACTGCGTTTGGCAGGAGGACCATCATCCAGCGTGTGATTCGAGCCGGAAGCAACCGGAGATGGAGAACGCATAATTGCGTCCTCGCGGAGCATTCCTTTCTCATTGACGATCTTGTCGAGAGTCCGGAAGCGTTCTGCGGTCACCGTCACATCCATCTTCTTGGCCAGCTCGAAGACCTTACGAGTAGGCTTCTGGAACTCGGTGTCAATAATCCCATTGTTGTTAACGGGAGACTTCTCTTGAACCGCGCGGATTTTGGGTCCATCGCGAGAGATGTGCGTGACATGCGAGATTGTCGGCGCAGGGATAGACGGAGTGAGCGAGGCGATCGAACCAATAGTGAGGGAGCCAGTGATCTCGGAGACTCCATGGACATGACTGTGATCAGCCTTGCCCTTGCCCTTGTTGTCCTTGTTCTTCCCACTGCGCTTGCCTCGACGGTTCTTCTTCTTTCCATCAGCCTTATCACCCTTATCGGGTGCAGAGCCAGAGCCCTGTTGCTGATTGGTGAACGAAGGGTCATCGCGCTTGCGCTTGGTATTGAACTTGGCCACATGATTCTGGCTTTGAGACTGCTTCTGAGCAAAATGCGTCAAGAGAGCGTCACGAACCGCCGAGACTTTGATCTCGTCCTTTTCATAGGTCTGGAGAACAGTCTCTGTGACGGAGGGAATCCGGGCTATGTGTCATAGTTCGGCCACTTTTTCATCTTATCATCGACGATCTTATCTTATCCTGGCACAACTTATCTTATCACGGATCACGGCATCAGACGGTCCGGACTAGGGGTTTCAGGGATTATCTTCATCGATTCGAGGCTGCGCGACATATGCTCCAGAAGGTTCTACTACGACCCATGACCAGCGTTCCATGCGGTACATAGCCCTATGACTCATTAGTTGTAGATATGACTCAGACTGGATTTGGGTATAAATACTGTAGCTACTTGGTTGTATTCTCCAGTCTTCGAATTCACTTCTCTTTTCGACTTTGTTTTTGGGTTGATTGTCACATAATTCGAAGACTCCCCTCATACCCTCCTACCTCATACCTCTTACCCTGCATCTTGCACCGCTACGCCCGCTATATCCTCTTAACCCTTATCACCCCACTCACCCTTTTACCGAATCATCTAGTCGTCCTCCACTATCGCAGTGAAGGGTTCATATCAAGCAAACAGCACCAGGCCACGGGTAACGTTGAGCCCGACCCAAGCCTTACGGTAGCTACAAGGAGTGCTGCGGAGACCTTCAGGAAAACGCACCTCGGGATCATCGGGCACGTGAAGAGCTAGGCCCGGGATCTTTTTGCTAGCAAAAGAACCCTCCCTCGAGTGCTTGTACAGCACACGATTCCACCATTTCGTACCGATTCCCATCGTCGTCTGGGAGTCCGTCCCCTCCCCCCATCGTACCATCGTCGCCCGATCTGGCGCATCAAAACCAACCCGGGTCCTCCAACCCCTACCTCGCCCTCCCACCGCCTGAAGACGAGATCCCCGACCTCGACGAACTGCCCTCCGAACAACCACCCTCGCCTCCACCTCACACGCCTGCCCCTACCATGTCAGGGCATCACCGCATCACCCTCGCCGCCAATCCCCCCTACTTCGATGGCGACAAGTCCAAATACCTGGGCTTTGTGGACGCGTGCACCACTTACATCGGTGCCTATCGATCGGAGTTCTCACAAGATGAGACCAAAATCCTCTTTGTCCTCTCCTACCTCCGTAACAAGAACGGCACGAGCTGCGCGGCCTCGAGATGGGCGATGAACTGGAAGCAGCACAACTTCGATGGCTTCCAGGGACTGAAGCCAGGAGTCACATCAAAGAACTTCCTGGAGGAGCTTCAGAGGGCGTTCGGGGACTCCAATGCGGAACAAGTCGCCACTGCTCGGCTTATGGCCCTGCGTCAAAACAAACGGTCCTTTGCGGACTACATCTCCGACTTTGAGATGTTGGCCGCGGAGGCATGCTACAATGTGGTTGACACCACCGACGACAAAGGCGAATACAAGAAGGGGGACCAGGATAATATCCTCATCGAGTTCCTGGAGCGCGGACTCAGCAGCGAGATCGCCAGCCGTCTCTACAACACCGGTGTCCCTCTGCCCAAGGCCTATGGAGCGTTCAAAGCCTGGTGCATCAACATCAAAGCCAATGCTCTGCGTGACCAGCTGCGCAAAGCGTCGTATGGGCACCCCACACAACGACCACCTCCCCAGTTCCGTCCCCAAACGGCACCAGTGGCGCCCACACCCGCTCCGGCCCGACCCGCTGCCAACGAACCAGTTCCGATGGAAATCGATCGTACCCACGCCCGCGGCCGCAATATCATCTGCTACAACTGTCAGCAGCCCGGGCACATTGCGCGGAACTGCCCGGAGCCCAAGAAGAAGCGCACGTTCTTCAATCGGGCCACAATGCTGGAAGAAATCGAGAACGGGGACAAGGACAACGAGTTCCTGAAGGAGATTGCTGAGAAGCTGCGCGAGAAGGGTTTTTGAAGCGCTCCACTCCTCTAGCCAAGGAGGTGGAGCGTCCGGACTATGGACGATTTTCTGTACTTGTTTCGATTAAAGATACGGACAATATTTCATCTACATACACGATCTCAGACTCACTACGTACAAATATTCACGATTTTCTTATTGCCGAGATGGAAAAAGAACGCCAGGAAAAGATAGCTCTAAATAGAAAATACTTACAAGATAAAAAAGATCAGAAAGCTGCAGAAAAATTATTTTTGGACTCCTACGTATTTATGGCTCGTGGAGAAGGAACCACGTCAACAAAGACCGAAAAGGGGAGCATCGCTCCGAAGGCTCGATCCTTGGAAAAGGAGGAAGCGCCCAAGGAATCTGCCAAAATCGAGGTTCCAGAAGCACCCAAACGCACCAGGGTGCCAGATGCCATCCAGAGGAAATTGGCGACCGAGAAACAGAAGGGCCCCCAGCCCAGCAGATTGGCGCAGGAATTGCGCAGTTACCAAGCCGAAAGAAAGAGGCATTCGATGGACGTATATGTCCAGATCACGGGCCTGGACTCAGGGAAAACGCGTGGAGTCAAGGCGCTGCTCGATAGTGGCTGCAGTACCTGCTGCATCGACACAGACTACGCACGGGCAGAAAAGCTGGATATCCAAGAGCTTCCGCAACCCATTGTGGCTCGTAACGCCGACAACACCGAGAACATCAGCGGTCGGATCACGCACTACGTCGACTTGAGAATGAGAATCGGTCCTCATGTGGAGACACGCACGTTCCTTCTGACGTGTCTGGGAAAAGCCCGGATCTTCATCGGCCTGGATTGGCTGACGGAACACAACCCTGAGGTGGATTGGCAGGAGCAGACAATGAGATTCAGCCGATGCCCAGAGCAATGTCAAATGAGGGGTCACGAGGAGCACCAAGCGATGATCGACATGGATGCAATTGACCTGGACGCGGGTGCACCGGATCTGGAAGAGGGAGAATCGATCTTGTTGATCGACTTTGGAAAGGAGGTAGACCTACGGCTGAAGGAAACGCCGGCGCAGAAATTCGCAGAAGAAGCGGAAAAGGAGAAGGAGAGAATGACCGAGGGAAAGATTCCAGATCAATACCGAGAATTCGTCAAAGTATTCGCCAAGGAATCATTCGACTCGCTACCGGACCGACGGGCATGGGATCATGCGATCGAGCTCAAACCAGGCTCCAAAGCAGTGGACTGCAAGGTGTACCCCTTATCGAGAAACGAACAGGTCAAACTCGACGAGTTCTTACAAGAGAACCTAGCCAGCGGACGAATCAGGCCATCAAAATCACCCATGGCATCGGCATTCTTCTTTGTCAAGAAGAAGGATGGCTCGCTACGACCTGTTCAAGATTACCGGAAGCTGAATGAGATGACGATCCGAAATCGGTACCCGCTACCGCTGATTTCCGAACTGGTCCACAACCTGTGCGGCGCCAAGTTCTTCACCAAGCTAGACATCCGGTGGGGATACAACAACGTACGGATCAAAGAGGGCGATGAGTGGAAGGCTGCGTTTCGCACAAACCGCGGACTTTACGAGCCCTTGGTTATGTTCTTTGGTCTCACGAATTCCCCGGCAACTTTCCAAAACATGATGAACGACATACTCCGGGAACTGATCAACGAGGGACATGTGGTAGTTTATCTGGACGACATACTAATCTTCACAGAAAATCTGGATGAACATCGACGAATCACCAAACGGGTACTCGAGTTGCTCCAAAAGCACAAATTATACCTGAAGCCGGAAAAGTGCGAGTTCGAACGCACGGAAATCGAATACCTGGGTGTAATCATTGGACACAACTCGATGCGGATGGACCCTGTCAAGATCAAGGGCGTGATGGAATGGCTGGAACCAAAGAGCGTCAAACAAGTCCAAGCCTTCCTCGGATTCACAAACTTCTATCGACGTTTTGTTCGGGGATATGCGGAGGTCGCCAAGCCGTTGACGCGGCTGACAGGGAAGGCAGGATGGTCATGGGGTCCGGATGAACATGCGGCGTTTGATGGGTTAAAGGAGAGAATCGCAGAGGATGCCGTCTTAGCACTGCCAAATGACACCGGGCAATATCGTCTGGAAGCCGATGCTTCGGAAGGGGCAACAGGATCTGTTTTGAGCCAAAACCAAGACGGCATTTGGCGCCCAATTGCATTTATTTCGCATGCATTAACGGAAACCGAGCGAAATTACGAGATCTACGACAAGGAAATGCTTGCAATCATGTTATCGCTCGACGAATGGAGGCAGCTACTCTTGGGGGCCACAGAAACGTTCGAGATCTTCACTGATCATCAGAACCTCGAATACTTCCGGAAGCCACAAAAGCTCAACCGACGACAAGCACGATGGATCACAGAATTAGCAGAATTCGATTTCACCTTACGACACCGGCCTGGCGCACTTAACCGCAAGGCGGATCTCTTATCTCGACGAGCGGATCACGATCAGGGCAAGAACGACAACAAGGATATCACTCTGCTGAAACCCGAATTCTTCCGGTCACAAGAAGTCACATTCGAGGGGCAAGATCAGCAGCTAATCGATGAGATCAAGGCTACTCGATCAATTGATGGAAGCGTCAAAGCGGCCTTGGAGAAGTCACTCGTCGGATGGGAAAAGGAAGATGGGCTCATCACGTACCATGGGAAGCTCTACGTGCCGAGAAATAAGGAGCTACGAGACAAGATCATCGGACTACACCACGACACACCTTTGGTCGGACACGCTGGGATCAACCGAACGCAGGAGATGGTGGAAAGGAACTACTGGTGGCCAAGGATGGGAAACCAAATTCGGAAATACATCCAGACGTGCGAGGCGTGCCAGCGGACCAAGACCAGAAGAGCCAGGACAGGGAGTTTGCACCCGCATGCAGTTCCAAACGCGCCGTGGGAAATCATCTCCATGGATCAGATCGGACCCCTGCCGGTCAGTAACGGGTATGACGCAATTCATGTGTGGTGTGACACCTTCACCAAAATGATCCATGTCGAACCAATTAGTACTGACATCAGCAGCGAAGGAGTAGCACGATTAACCAGGGACCGAATCTTCCGCTATCACGGGGTCCCCCGCAAAATCATCACTGACAGGGACTCTCGATACATCAAGGGCTTTATGAAGGAAACGAATCGGATGTTGGGCGTGGAAATGAATCCGGGGACCGCATATCACCCCATCACGGATGGGCAGATGGAGCGTATGAATCAGGAGATCGAACATTATCTCCGCATTTACGTCAACTACCATCAGACGGATTGGTCGGAGTGGCTGGGAATGGCGGAGTTCGCATACAACAACAAAATGAACACGTCTACCAAAATGTCGCCGTTCTATGCTAATCACGGATATCACCCATGGAAGGGAGTGGAGCAGCGGATGGAATCAAGGAACGAGTCGGCGGAGGAATTTGTAAAAAGAATCAAAGAAATACAAGACGAAGCAAAAGCAGCATTGGAAAAAGCAAAAGAAAAAATGAAAAAATACTACGATAAACAAAGAAAAGAAGTTCCGGAGTTGAAGGTTGGGATGAAGGTATACATAGAAGGAGAAAATATCGAGACAGACAGGCCTTTGAAGAAGATGAGCGACAAGAGATTAGGGCCATACGAGATACTGGAGAAGGTTGGAGCGGCTGCATGGAAGCTGAATTTGCCGGACACGGACCGAAGACACCCAGTGTTCAACGAGTCACTGTTGACACCCTATCACGAACCACCCCCCCATCGCCGAGAGAAGAGACCCGTGGCCAAGATGATCGGAGGAGCAGAGGAGTGGGAAGTCGAAGAAATCGTGAAAGAGCGAAACGTTGGCCGAGGAAAACAGTACTTGGTCAAATGGAAGGGATGGCCGCACAGCGAGAACACCTGGGAACCATCACGTCACCTTACCCACGCAAAGGACGTCCTGAGAGACTGGCAGAGGAAACAATCAAATCCAGACACACGCATTCGCCTCCTGCCAACGCTCGAAGCTGGACACTGGGACTATCTCATTCATCGCTACCAGCCCAGACACGAGCGCCTTCCATACCCCCAACGACAGCTCTTCGACCCTTACAAGAACGTCTTCTTACCCATTGGCCTGGTCGATGAGGACATCGACCCTAGAGAGGGGGTAATGTCATAGTTCGGCCACTTTTTCATCTTATCATCGACGATCTTATCTTATCCTGGCACAACTTATCTTATCACGGATCACGGCATCAGACGGTCCGGACTAGGGGTTTCAGGGATTATCTTCATCGATTCGAGGCTGCGCGACATATGCTCCAGAAGGTTCTACTACGACCCATGACCAGCGTTCCATGCGGTACATAGCCCTATGACTCATTAGTTGTAGATATGACTCAGACTGGATTTGGGTATAAATACTGTAGCTACTTGGTTGTATTCTCCAGTCTTCGAATTCACTTCTCTTTTCGACTTTGTTTTTGGGTTGATTGTCACACTATGTTGAGAATGATCATCGCTCTGAGGAACTCAGGGATGCTCAAAGACTCATTCTCCAGGCGAGCGAACGCCGTAGTGATCACCAGCAGCTGTGGATCCGGGTGCAACCCCACGTTGTACTTGGCGTTCAACGCGGTTTGGAAGTACGCATATAGGTCGGCGCACTGAGCACCACCGTACTGGGTCTTCAGGTGCTCCCAGATCTTGGCAGCTGACACTATGTTGGCGGTTGGAATGTTGGCAATGACTCCCTCAGTCAGGCGCAACTTAATGCTGCCCTTTGCCCTGAGATCATCATGCTTCCATTGCTTGATCTCCGATGCGTTGGTCACAGAGCCATCGGTAGCTTTGACTTCAGTCGGCGCCATTTCGGTCAGCACATATGAGATCCCCTGATGTTCCAGGTAGGACTCCATAGTTCCGGACCATACGAGCCAGTGCTTTCCATCAAAGATGGAGACAGCATTGAAGATGTTGTTGGAGTTGGACGACATATTGATCTGTGTGAGTTAATCAGCATCAATCTAATCTGATAGATAAAATCAAAGATCAAGACGATCAGATTCTCATAGATCATAATCTCCTTGAGAGATCGATGCATCTGGATCAAGCGATGTAATCGCGATCCGGCATGGTTTCACCAGCGCTGTGCAGCAGCTGAAGTGAATACAGATAGGCTAAAGACGCTGCTCATCGTTGCAGCCAGTGACGGCGCATACAATGAATGTCGCGGCCATTGAGGCGCAGACATAGCTCTCGGGGCCCATAACCTGTTGAGCACTGGGGAGAGTGTCTAGCAGCTCACCTGTGTGAGTGAGAGCTTAGTGTGGGCACTATGCGGGAGTAGTCAAGAGACTTGTATTAAAGGGTAATAGAGCCCTCCTTATATATGATACAGGGGGCCGTTTGTGTCTATTTGGGACGAGTCGATATGACTCTAGATGACACGTGATGGAGTCATAGATATGTATCACGACATCCATCTTGACAGATGATATTTGATCAACAGGATTATGAATCTATTAGGCTACGGGATTAATCCGCATCACTGATATGACTGTTTCCTTGACTTAGACTTCGGAGATGATTTTGATGATAGCGTAGTAGGTGTGCACTCGATAATTCGTCCTCAAGCATCAATGCGCGTGGGGTTACCAATCATCTGATCATTCCCATTTACTCGGTATGCTACTCGGGCTCGAGGGGATTACGAGACTCATGGGCCAGAATATCAGACTCCAAGCTGCTTTTAAATCTTCGCAACAATTCTAGATGAGTGCTACGTCTAATCCGTGTCTGCAACTCTTAGTGATGATGCTGGGCCGGCGCTGGAGGAGTTCGCAATCGGAGTGCCAAAAAGTGCGCGTGATGCATATCTGAGGGGATCTTACCTCAGTGTGCTCCAGTACCATATCTCCGGGAAGATGTAAATACCCCGCCGAGGGGGTGTGTCTTTCTGTGGTAGATGACCGCCAAACGTTCTATGACTGTTGCTGCGACCGACTTTAAATTTCGACTCCACCGAGTTCGAGCCATTCCACGATTCCTTTTGTCTGTGATCAAGCCGTTTGCGACCGAGGTCATGACTCAGAAGCCATTGAGACGGTTTCAGCTGTAGGGCTAGCTGGATTTGGATTCTAGGCTCTGTCGGATGCTGAACGCATATCGCTGACGGCGTTCTTCGGCGGCTCCAGCGCACATGCACATTGACCGTTCGCAGGCAAGTCGAATGGAACTATCTCGTGTATCAACGTGTCGTGACTCGAGCGTGCGGTGTGACCTTGGACTTTCGGAGGCCACCAAGGGCTATCACATCTACTCTCACCGTGTGCCGTTTTTTCGATTGCGCTCTCTTCGTCCTTGAAGGAAACAGGCCACCAAATCTTCTGTCAGTGACCTTACGGCGCCGCCTCACAGCCGGTTATGCAAGACTTTGATCGTTGCGCTCGGCGATTCAGTGGCCCAGCGCATTTTGGACTTCAAGTAAACTATAACATTCAGTCGGATCCATGGAACAACAAATGCTCCGCTGGAAGTGATATGCAAGCCAATAATGAGCAGAAACAAAAGGTTCAGCGCAACACGGGATTACTGCTCTCGTGGCTAAGAAGTTTCAAAGATTTCAGAAGATCATACATACGTACTGTATCATCGCGTTGGCATGATATGTACTGAAATCTTTAGTAATCACTAGTGCATACTGACTGCTTACACCGATTCAGAAGGAACACGAGGCACTGACTGGAGCTAGAATGCCTGTGGAGTCGATTTAGCACAAGATGGATGTACCTACCCTGATCAATTCATATAAAGCAGCGGCCATTGGACTTCTTGCCTAGTACTTTCTTCTTCCTTCCTTCCTTCCTCCCTTTCATCGTTACGCTGGGCGTCAACGTTGCACCACACCTTCATTTGATTTACATCCCACACGCTGAGCATTATGAAGTCCACTGCGATCCTCCAACTCGCGTTTGCCGCCGTGTCGTATGTCGCGGCAGCACCGGTGCGCAGAGGCGTCGATCCGAGTCTGGTCCCCGAGTTCGGCATAGCACCAGGCACCAACCCGACTGGTACGGGTGACTGCGAAGGCAACAAGGGCGTTGCGATTCCGTGCACATGTCCACCCGATCGAGATTCCTTCATCGCCGTGAGGGTCTCTTCTCTTGCTAGTGTTCCTTTGACTAATTCAATTGCTGCGTGTAGGCACTCTCAGCGAATGTCGCGTTCGGGCACGACGTCAACAACACTGTCGTACCTGCGCCATTCCCCACGGACAACTCGATCCAATCCCAGGTGACGCGCATCCAGACCGCGATTACGACTCTGCAGAACTTGCATGGCCCCGGCGTTGGGTGTCCAGCGGCGGCGACGACGTTCTTGGCCCAAATCGCGGCGCTACAGGCTCAGCCAGAGATTAGTAGTACACCTGCCGCCGCCGCCGCCACAAGTTCAGCTGCAGGTGCTGCAGGTGCTGCAGTGGGTGCAGATCCGGCCGGCGCTGGTGTGATCACAGCTTCAGCGACATCGGCGTCTCAGGCTCCCAACCCGACAGCGAACTCGGTCGCACCGACCTTTGATGTATCGCTCGTGCCCGAATTTGGAGTCATTGCGGGGAGCCAGCCCGATGGGACAGGCAACTGCAAAGGCGCCAATGGAGTCTTGATACCGTGCTCGTGTCCTCCCGACCGCGCGGCCTTCATCGATGTGAGTTGTGTCACGCAGCCCTACTATGAAACCTTTTCTTCGCAGCATCTTCTCTGACCCCGATCCCCCAGTCTCTTTCCGGGAACGTCGCCGCAGGACACGACATCAACAATCCCGGTGTCGGCGCAGCCTTCCCCACCGACAACTCGCTTGCATCCCAGATCACGCGGTTCCAGACGGTTATATCATCGATGCAGAATTTGCATGGGGCGGGTGTCGGGTGCCCAGCAGCTGCGACGACGTGGAGCTCGCAATTGGCCGCGCTAATTGCGCAGCAGGCGTCGGAGCCAGGAAAGTAGGAACAGTTGTCAAGGTCGTCTGTAGCTTATGCCTGGTGCTGGATCCATGACTTGTCGGGAATAATGTTATACTCACTGTACAAGCTTTGAGGAATGAGACATGGCAAACATTCGAGAGTGTCATTCGAGTGACAAGGCTGAGATTCGAAATCGCGATCATGTGATAATCACATGTATCTGTTGACGCGCGATCGAACATGATGAACAGTTGCGGTGATTCAACCGGAACCCCACCAGATATACAACGAGTCTCTCCCCATCTCAGTCAGTCCGCTGTTATCAAATGCATGCTTATGAGCTCAATCCAGACCCGGGCAGAGCACCCACGGCAGAATCGCCGTGCCTTGTCTGCTGCTTGGACTGCATTTGGGTCATTCCCTTAGAGGCAGTCCCACAATCAGTTAGTTTCGTATGTGGGAAGCTGGGCCACCTTGTAACTTGAGTACTGCCCAGACGCCGGGTACGACCGGCCCAGAACAGGCACGCCGAGCTCTTTCCTCCGTGAGTGTGATATCCACAATGTCGGATACCGGGATGCGATCCATGTCCACACCGGTTGACTAAGAGACACGTGATAAATACATGGAATAAACATCTCCGCCTCACTGATGCGCCATCTAGTCATGACCGGATTGTTTCATATGACCACGCACGTACCTGTCTTTGCTTCTCTTTCCGTTTAGGATCACCCTCAAGATTAGATAAATCGAGAGAAAACCAGCATCGCATATGTCATATCACCCGGCCTGCGACGGCCATGCCACTCCAATCCAAGACAGGGATCGACTTGTGAGAGTCTCAGATCATCATCACTGCTTTTCTTTGAGGCGCGCTGGAGGTGATAAGATTCCAATACTGACAGCTATCGAGGTTATGTCTTAACTCTCAGAGACTACGGCGGCCTATCAGTCGCGGCGACCGGTCTCGGCGGCCACCCAAGGACGCTTTTTCCAAGCGACGTGAAACAGGGAAGAGACACTGGATTGTTGACCGACGGAGAGGGACTGCAGCTGCGATGCTGCGAGATCTCTTAGAACACAGATGTCTAAGATAAGAACATTCAGCGACTCGTATCAATCCACAGGCTGAGAGCGGACGGATGCATCCGCCGATCCGCAAGAAAGCGTCTTCGGGACATACTACTACGCGGCACTGCAAGAATTTATGGCCAATCAAGACATAACGCGTAGACTACGGACCGTGAAACTTGGAATCCTTCATTCAAGAGTATGCACATTTGGTATAGATTATGTATCGCTGCAGTCAATCGCTGATCTACGTCAAAACCATATGAGAGCCCTTAGAAGACAGTGAGCAGCCCATGGTACCCAAGGGTGAGGGCATGTCTTCTCCAGGATTCTAGGCAAGATTCAGGGACTCGTAAGTACGCTAAGCGGTCTAGGCAATGGGAGGCTGAGTGCCAGTGCAGTAAGAACGGTCGATGGAACACAGTGGGATAAGGATCCAGGGGGACAGTCTCCAGGCCAGCCTGGCTGCGAGACGATGATGAACATGCCGAGACCATCTCCGGTGTGCATGCAAGAGGGAGGAGGGGCGGAGGATGGAATAGTGAGAGTATTATGTAGTAGGAGCAGGCTACTAGCAGCTATACAAAGCCTAAATATGAGGGGCAATGCGTAAAACGGAAGGCTGCATCAAGCAGCAAGATTAACAAGCACTGCAAGACGCATGACAGCAGCAGAAACCGCGGACTGGTGTTAGCTATCGCACTTCAACCGAGGATTGGTACCACCAAGGATAAAAGGCTGAGCAAAATGAGCATCTGTCCATCCGAGCTGATACAGCAAACCCTCCTCCCCCAATGGCCAACCGACAGATCCAGCTCATGAATGAAGCCCGTGCTCGGGCCACCTTCGATCCTCGGAAGCTGACGTATATCATATACGGGGGGTGAGTGTCGATCCGGCCTTCTTCAGGAAGTTCTCGCTGACGGCATCCAGTCCCGAAGCAGTGCATGCTCGAGAAGCTGCGTTTGCCACCGCAGAGAAGAAGATGGACACCACGGACATGGACGTTCTCCCCGCCGAATATGGCGACGTCACCCGGTCCGAGATGTACATCCAGGGCCTCAAGATGGGCAAGGCCATGATCGAGGAGCGCACTCAACGAGGAACTGGCATCTTCGAGTGGATCACTCCCAAGTACTGGCTGGCCAACTCGTCGCCCTACGGTCTGCACTTCATGATGTTCACGCCGTCCCTCAAACTCCTCGGCTCCGACGAGCAGGCCAAGTACTGGGTGCCACTTGCTGAGCAGGCCAAGATCCTCGGCTGCTACTGCCAAACCGAGCTCGCTCACGGTTCGGCTCTTCGCGATCTTGAGACTACGGCGACCTTTGACCGCGCCACCGATGAGTGGGTCCTCCACTGCCCCACAACTGAGTCCATCAAGTACTGGCCCGGCGGTCTTGGCTTCAGCGTCACCCATGCCATTGTCATGGCCCGTCTCATCATCGGCCCCAAGGACTACGGCGTCCACCCCTACATCGTGCAGCTCCGTTCGCTCGAGGACTTCACCCCTCTCCCCGGTGTCGAGCTCGGCGATGTCGGCTTGAAGATGGGCCACAACACGAACGACAACGGCTATGCCAAGTTCACCCACTTCCGCATTCCCCGGGCTAACCTGCTCATGCGCTACCAGACGGTCGATCGCGAGGGAAACTACACCTCCACGCCGGGAGGCAGCAGCCGTCTCTCATACGGAACGATGTTGTACGCCCGCGTCAACATTGCCGCCGCGATTCCCATGCAGCTCGCCCAGGCGGCGACTATCGCGCTCCGCTTCTCGCTGGTTCGCGAGCAAGGCGCATTGCCCTTCGAGACAGACGAATCGAAGCGCTCTCCGGTCCCTATCCTCGCTTTCCCTATGCTCTCCCTCCGAATCTTCATGGTCATGTCCCGGGCATTCGCCACCTGGTTCTCCGCCCAGGAAGTCGCCGGCCAGTATCAAAACTTGTTGGCCCGCCAGGCCAAAGGCGACCATGCTGCTCTGCCGGGTGTCCACGCCCTGCTCGCCGCGCTGAAGGCTTACTCCGCCCAGACTCTCGCTGACGGGACTGAAGAAGCGCGTCGGTGCACTGGTGGCCACGGATATCTCTCGTTCAGCGGTTTCGGTCTCCTGGTCCCGGCAGCGACGGTCATTGCCACGATCGAGGGCGACACCTATGTCATGTATCAGCAGGCTGCTCGCTATCTCATCAAGTGCGTCACCACCACACGCGCCACCTGGGACCCGAATGTCGCATATTTGTACGCCCCGGCCAGCCAACCGCTGCCCAGCACTGCCGACTTTGGCGATATCGCCGTCCTCCTCCAAGTCTTCCAGCACCGTTCGATCCGTCTCATCAAGGAATCTGCTGCGATCCTTGCCGAGGCTCAGGCCGACGGGAAGCTGTCGTTCTCGCAAGCTTGGAACAAGCACATGGTCCGCTTCGTCGCTGCTGCCCGGGCTCACATCGAGTTCCTCGTTCTCCGTTCGTTCGCCAAGGCCGCCAAGGGCGATTCTCCGGAGCACAAGGTCCTCGAGCGCCTGTGTGTGCTCTACGGTCTCACGTGCATCGAGGGCCTGCAATCCGAGGGCGTCGGTTTCACAGAGGACGGCTACCTCACGGCGGTCCACCTGTCCAACGCTCGCAAGGTCGTCAACGTGCTCCTGGAAGAGCTCTCCGTCGACGCAGCGGCCATCGCAGACAGCTGGAACTTCACCGACGCAAGTCTTGCTTCTGCGATCGGCTGCTACGACGGCGATATCTACACGCGGATGATGAAGTGGACGGAGCAGGCACCCATTAACGTGGAGGCGAGGAAGAATGGTGGTGTGATCAAAGAGGGTTATGAGGGTTATCTCCGCCCGGTCTTGACAGGAAGACTGTGAACGCGGCTTGCGGGGCTAGAAATTTATTACATACCTATGCGATTCAACTAAAGACTGTAGCACACTCACATTCCTTGTAAATCTAATTTATCACTTTCTTTCTCTCAGACTGCGAAGGATATCTTCTTGAAGTTTATTTCGTGCTCTTTGCGTCATTTCATTGTTCGAGTCCTACGTTCTCGATCGTCGAGCTTGTTGGAAATTCGGAGGAATGGGAGGAGACTCAGGAGAGTTGGTGGTCGGTTGAAGGCTTTGTCTGATGCTTAGATCAGCATAGGCTGCGCAAGATGCCGTTTTCAATCGACACGTATTTCATATCCAGTGTGGGCCTCAGCGTGTTGAGCGACACATTGCGAGCCAATCCTTGAATGGTTTGCAAATACTGAAAGGACGACAACTGCACTCGACATCATCTGGCTCCGAGTCATTGACGACACGAAATCTGGTATAGCGCTTGAAACGCTCAAACGATCCCAGTTTCGAAACCTTGAATAGAAACCTTCAATAGAGCTTGAAGCTTGAAGCCTCAAACAGGTTGCGCGTTTCGTAGTTACAGACAGAAAAGTTGTCTAGACAATGATTCCCCTGCCGGAAGATGTAATGCAGTTCCGCCTTGACTCTTCAAAAGTTGTTCAACCGGTCGCCCCGGCTGCTGAAGCTGCAGAAGACCCTAAGGATCTTTTTCCAGACCAGCAAATGGTATATGGCTCATGCTATCATACCGATATGTCAGCGGAAGACCATGAACTATGGTGAGAGAAAAACGCACGCTCATAACTAGTCCTTCTTGTTCGCTTTGGCGGGTAACCACTTCGTAGGATGTTGATTAAAGATGGGCCACGGCGGAAGTACGACCTGGGAGGGCATTAGAAGATAGACCATATGAAGCAGATGGCCGGGTAGGTACGAGAGCAAGCAGTAGTGTCGATGCGCCAAAGATGCCGAATGTGACCTGCAGTGACTGGACGAGGAAACCCGCAATGAAAGAGATAGCCTGAATAGAGAAGGATATCGACTGAGCATGGGATAGCGCAACGGCGTGTCAGCGGTCGGACGCACCGTGGTAGCGATGAGCCAGACGCGAGAAATCAGCTCAACGCGCTGTTGACCGACGAAGTCCTAGACAAAGCTATTTAGTCACAATAGAGCAAGCGTCGCGGTGCGAACGGACGATTCTGCCTTCCGGTAGTTGAATGCTCATGGTATTGAGGGGAGGAGTGACACGTCTACGTGATGTCACAGGACTGGCTTGATCAGGCAGCTGCCAGATGCGTCGCGCTGCAGTGCTCTCTTCTGACTATGACTCGCTTCCTAGCCCCTTGACTTCGCGAAACTTGAGACCTCGCTCCGTGCGGTCCACTACTGCATCAGTGGGAAATAACGACCTCCGTGCACCCACAAAGACTTCTTTGGCGAACGTTGTCGAGATGGACGCAGATTCATCGACTGGACCATCGACAAGGGCCCGAGTGAAACGAGAGCGGTCCGGGTCGCCTTCACGGTCAGGGCGCAAACGTGTCAAGCGAGAAGTCGAGGGTGAAACCAAGGAAGAGCCGACCAAAGGTAGCTCCACTCGAGCTCGAGCGAAACGCGCACAATCAGCTGAAACAGAAGAAAACCTCCCGTCCCCTACCCTAATCGATTCTGCTGGATCGTCGCGCTCCGCGCCTTCAGATGTGTCGGCGGGTACACATGAGCCCTCTGGAATACTGCTTCCGAGTAGCGTCGACACCGAAACATCCTCCGTCCTTGCAAACTGCACCGCCACTCCCAAAGCGCCTTCTCCGTCCTCTGCCAAAGCACATGCCACCGGCGAACCACTCGCCGCCTACACTTGCCCCATTTGCTTCTTTCCACCGACTAACGCGACGCTCACTCCGTGCGGGCATGTTTGTTGTGGCTCTTGCCTCTTCACTGCAGTCAAGACAATGGCTTCGCGCGCTGCGGTATTGCCAGGCATAGATGCCGCCAGGTACGCTCACTACCTGGTCTTATTTTCTGGCTCTCATGAATTTCGAAGGTGTCCTGTATGCCGAGCACCTATCCCTGGATGGGATGGAGTCGGTGGTGGTGTTATCGGACTCAAGTTACGAGCTGTACTGAGCGTCTAGGACAATTAGATCGGAATTTTAATGTAACTAGTATATCAGAAACTTCAATCTGCCTGCTGCGTATGTCTTTGAGTAGGACCAGCTTCCCTCGGGTTCCTCCGATATCGATCATGCAAGCAATGGAATTTCCTTTTTTGTCCGAGAGGACGAGCAGTCGGTCAACTCTCCGATCACGCCAAGCACTGCCACCGGCCCTTCCAGCTAAAGCACTTGCCGGTAGACACTCCCCGTTCCCTTTCGGCTGCTTTCACGCTCTCCGTGACGCCTTCATTCAAGTAACGCCTCGGAGCTCGACTGGAGAAGAGTTCATGTCGGGGCACGGCTATGCGTACAGTCGCGTGGCCGAATCCGTCGACGACGGAAATGCACGGTGCGCCTTGTCACCGCTGAGCCTTCGAGATGGACACGAACTCACTATATAGCAAGCCTTACAGCGTCACGCACCCAAGTACACCGATCGTATCTGGGTCTCGCTGGGATGCGGTTAGTGGGATGGATAACGGTCGCGTGTACCGCTGCTATGGTCTTGTTTGGTATGTCGATATCCTAGTCTCCCGTTGTCGGTCCTGTCTTAGGTGCTGTGCAAGGCTACGACCAGGGTGTATTTGGAGGAATCATTATCACACCCAACTTTCTAGAGACAATGGGTAATCCGAGTGCCAGTATGCAAGGAACGATAGTTGCTATATACGACGTGGGATGGTGCGTACCTCATGACTCCGTGCGGTGTGCGTCCGCAAACTTACTGGGTGCGGTATCCGATAGTCTATGCGGTGCACTCGCTGCCATGGTAATCGGTAAGCCAAGTTCTCCAATCGCCAATCTCGGTCTCTTCATTTAGGCTTTCGAAGGTGATCGACTTGGACGGAAGAGAACGTTTTTATGGGGGGTCGCCATCATGTCGATCGGTGCTCTCATGCAAGCCTGCGCATACAGCGTCCCTCAAATGATCATTGCTCGGTTGATAACAGGTTCGTTGCCGAGTTGATGTTTCCGATAAGTCCCATTTGACATTTCCAAGGTGTAGGAAATGGGTAAGCGTTCTGAAGGAGCTACCTGCAGCACCACGTTGAATAATGACAGCATCAATACTGCTACTGCCCCTGTCTGGCAGAGCGAAACATCCCAGCCGGGGTGGAGGGGGAAAATCCTGGTTTTCGAGATGGTGTCAGTCTTTCGTATCAACCATTTTATAGTCGCTCAGTCCGACTTCAGCATGAACATTGCGGGTTTCTCGCTGAGTAATTGGATGACCTACGGCTTCAGCTACGTTTCAGGCAGTGCATCCTGGCGCTTCCCGATTGCTTTCCAGCTCGTTTTCTCTGTCATCCTTTTTGGAACAATCCCGTGGTTACCCGAGAGCCCTCGGTGGCTACTGATGACGGGAAAAGAGGCGGAAGGCGCAGACGTTCTCGCTGCACTACACGGCGACGGCACGACTGCATCTGACGACGTGATTCTCAAAGAGAAGACGGAAATTTTAGAAGGGCTCGCAATGGAGAACGATGTCGCAGTGAGCTGGATCGATATCATTAGTATGAGATCAGGTGACAGTGGTATGGCTCAACGATTGCTACTTGGAGCAGGTGCGAGTTAAGTAATCAACCTTGTGCCTTCATGTTGCGATTCTTTATTTTCACAGGCGCGCAATTGATGCAGCAATTGGTCGGTATCAATGTCACCAGCTACTAGTGAGATTTCCAACCAAGGTTTTCTTGCTTTGTTCTGATATTTGGCCTGTGACAGTCTTCCTTTGGTTCTCCAGAACTCTGTGGGACTATCGAACACGATGTCGCGCTTCCTCGCAGCTTGCAATTCTGTTTCATATCTCATATTTGCGTTCGCTGGCATAGTTCTCATTGAACGTGCTGGACGGAGAATGCTGATGATCTGGGGGGCAGCGGGACAAGCAGTGTGCTATGCATTCATCTCCCGACTTCTTTCGAAGGCCGACGACCCTGTCAATGGTGCAAGATATGGGATCGGCGCGACGGTGTTCTTCTTCGTGTACTATATTTTCTTTGGCATCTGTTGGCAGGTGCGTCTAATGTCAAGTCGGAATTTAAGGAAAATGAACCTCACTTCGGCATTTTTAGGGTGTTCCATGGCTGTACCCCGTTGAAATCAACAGTTTGGCAATGCGGAACAAAGGAGCCGCTCTAGCTACTGCTGCGAACTGGCTCAGTAACTACTTAATTGTGGAGATCACGCCCGTCGGAATCTCCCACATGGGATGGAAATTCTATTTGATCTGGATGATGTTCAATGCCCTCTTCGTGCCGGTGAGGCTAAGGACTATTCTAACAATTATCACGTGCCTCATTTTTTTTTTACCAGTTGATCTGGTTATTTTATCCTGAAACTGCAAATAGGTTAGTGTGAAGTAGCCAGCCGGCTTAACACCTCGATGACCTCGAGCTTGACTTACCTCTTTGGCAGACATCTAGAAGACATCGATCGCCTATATCGTGAACACCCTCGAATGGTGCTCGTCTATAGGAATAAGGAAGCCATTCAGCTTTCGCGTCCGCAGAGGTTCGTGGACCTGCAAGCGGTTCAGAGCGATG